CATATTCCAGATAAGGGACGATAAATGGGTCGGGAGCAAGGTATTTGTGCGAACGGATTCTGAATCTTTGTGTATCCTGAGATCATAATTAAACAAGAGTAAGATTAATTAAGATGAACAACACGTTATTTGAATTATGAAAAATGTATAACCAAAGAAGAGACTTACAAATGCAGCAATGTTTTCCCTTGTGCCTCTGTGAGTATCTCCCATTGTTAGAAGGGCCATTGTTCAGAACGCTTGAGAGAATGAAAGACTTAGGAAGAAATAGAGAGTATGATAGACTTAAGAAATATTTCGTAGCAGAGAGTGAGAGAGTTGTGTGGGTGTGAGAGATGTTTCATAAGGTATGTATTTATAGTCAAATAAGTTTGATGTAGTGGTTGCATGCCTGCGATGTGTCACATTTGCATTCTTAGGGTGTTACACATATGCCTGCATGCATTTACAAAACATGTAAGGTGTCACTCTTGCAGGCTAGGTGGCAGCCCATGCATGTATCACGATTGGACAGTAAGGGAGGCGCCATCTCACTTGGCGAAATAGTACAAAAATGAATGGACTAGGTCACATTGAGGAAAGTGGTGATGAATGCGGGATACGCACTGACACAGCCCACATTCAAATATTACCGCAATGAGATCCGTTTGTCTAACCCAGAAGCCGGTACGTGGATCGACAATATACCGGTCGAAAAGTGGACTAGGTCATACGACAATGGCCAAAGATGGGGGCATATGACAACAAATCTTATTGAATCAATGAATGGGGTATTCAAGGGCATACGAAACCTCCCCATCACTGCCTTGGTGAAATCCACGTATTTTAGGATGGCTGCGTTATTTGCCAAAAGAGGTGAAATGTGGTATGCGGTCTTGCAATCAGGACAACTATGGAGTGAAAGCTGTATGAAATACATTAAGGCTGAAAGTGCTAAAGCCAACACTCACATGGTTACACGGTTTGACCGCCATAGCCACAACTTCATTGTGAAAGAGACAATTGACCACAATGAAGGCCTGGCAAGACAAGAATACAGGGTCATTTTACCTTCTCAATGGTGCGATTGTGGCAGGTTTCAAGCTTTTCGTATGCCTTGCTCTCATGTCATTGCCGCTTGTGCGTATACCCATCAAGACGCGCTTCAACTGCTCTCAAACGTTTATAAATCTGAAACGTTGCTCACTGTTTACAACAACAACTTTCCTTTGGTGGCAAAACCGGACTATTGGCCTGAATACAACGGTGATATAGTTTGGCACAATGACCAAATGCGAAGGAACAAGAAGGGTCGTCCCAAAAGCAGGCGCATAACAACAGAAATGGACGATCTTGACAGGTTGGAAAGAAAGTGTGGTTTATGCCGTCAGGTCGGACACAATCGCAAAAACTGTCCGAATCGGGCGTCTGGCTCGACCACATAAATTTTGTAATACATTAAATCTTTTCAATATTTGTGTTGTAAACATTATGGGTTTTCCGTTAATAAAACTGTTCACACAATTTAAGAAATTCAATATAGGAAATTACATTAGGGTTTTCGCGTACAACAATGATTAACGATATTCAATCTAGGAAATTACAACTGTTAACACAATTTCATCTGACCCATGCATCATCAGCATTACATCACTGTCTGTTTTGACTTCCTCCAACCACATATTATGTCTTCCTGTCGCATGCGAGGTTGTTGTTCGTTTTCGCTGGATCCTTCGAATTTTTTCCCCCTCGACGACGTCTCCATCTAGCCACCGCATCAACTCCCGCTTCAGACGCTCCATGGAGTGAATGTGCCAGAATTTCATTTTCATCGCAGGTTTCGTGGCGGAGAATATAACGTAACCATCTCTGCTAAAAATCATAGGCGACGTCATTACGTAAATAAGGGAGTACAAAATAAAAATACAGTGCGAGAAAGTGTGAGAAATTTCAAAGAAACGGACGAATTATTTATAAAACAGCAAAAAACCCTAGTTTTGCCCTAGGCGCCAAGTGAGATGGCGCCTCCTCTTCTTTTTAAGGAGCATGCGCCATCTCACTTGGCTAAATGCCAAGGGAGGCGCCAAGTGAGATGGCGCCTAGGGCAAAACCCTAGGTGCATGCGCCAAATGAGATGGCTCCTCCTTTGTGGAGCCATCTGAAACATGGTTATTTGCGTAATTTTTTCTGAAACCCGGTTATTTGCGAAATATTTTTTTAATACATGGTTATTAATAAAAAAAATTCTTGTTGTTGATGTATGTTGTTGTTAAGGTTTATTTAATGATATACTTTCTAAATTGCAGATTCATTACGTTCTGTCAACATATCATAGAAGACGAGTTTATTATATCGTATGTGATTTGAGTGTTTTTCAAACCCCTTATCGAATATATAACCTTTCAAATTAAATTAGAAATTTATAATATGAGATATTAAATTATATTAGAAAATAAATTACACTTAGCAATATTATACATGATTTCTTCAGCCCATTATACACATTTCTCTTTTTAATGGTTAAAACTTGATTTAATGTTTCTAGTTCTTCAACCGCTCCTTCCTTCACATATAATTTTGTTTGTAAAATAAATAATATTTTGAAAAATAAACTAGAGGCGAATGAAAGGTAGGAGCATTGAAAAAATATCTAACCATTAAAGATCGAAATGTGGCTTATGGATTGTAGAAATCTTGTACAACATTGATTATTGTAACTTGTTCTTCTAATATAACTTCATATCTCATATAATATTTTCTTAAATTAGATTGAAAGGTTATATGTTTAGTGAGCAGTTGATGAAATAAGTATTCCACATACGTTATGATAAACTAAAGTGAACATATCACCATAGCTGTAATCAAGTTAACATATTAAAAACAACCGTAGTGGTATATTACATGCTACAACCTTTTTACCACGGCCAATTGCCCATGATTTTAAAGAGGACACATAAAACCATAAACTACCTTACCACAGACCACCATACCTAGTAGAATCTTTCTACCAACCGTAGTTATATATGTATTTCGTAGTAGTGTCTCTAATGTTATTGTTTTCTCCTGATAACTCAGGTAGGACCGTATTCCTTCCAGCGGAAAACCTTCTTAAGAGGGGATCACTCTTGCCTCGCGGGGAGAATCATGTCACTTCTGTTTGAGTTTTTTTGAGTCTTACTGTTGTCTTGTGAATTGTGACGTTTAGTGATTGTTTGTTATATGTTTTTTAGCTGGTTGGGTTGTAGTGTAGTTTTACCTAGAGACCTTTAACCCTTGTTCAGATATTCATTTTATCCAATGGTTTGTCTAGGATTAGGAGAGTTTGTTTATGATTTGATATTCTTTAATTTGGTCGATTTGAAAATATCTGAATGATATAGTATTCTAAGATAAATTGGTGACTATTAAAAATATTGAAGACCTAAATATATCTTCGCTTTAGAAATAATATTTTAGTACGTAGGCCTATAGATAACTCTTGTGTTTTCTCGATGTGTCTCAAAAATTCAATTATGCATCTTATATTTTCTGGACATGTCTCAAAAATTCTATTATGCAGCTTAGTCAATAACGGCTTAGTGTCTCCATCCTTTCTTTCGTATGTTTTTGCTATTCCATTGGAGATTGGTGATGTTTTTAGTTGGTCTTTCCCTAGGGAGTTCTAGCCTGCTTCTTTTTCAGGTGATTTGCGTTTGCGACAATGTACATTCATTCAATGAAAATTTCATTTTTTTTTCGTATCAGTAAAGGTTAACTACGAATAATAATTTGGGCTATCACACCACTTATAAAATTAAACCGTTTGGACACAGCATTATTATATATAGGGGTGTTCAAAATCAAATCGGTTTAATAGAAAATTGTAAAACTGAACTGAACCAAATCGAAATTGGAAAAAAACCGCACATAGTTCAGATGTGTTTGAGTCATTTTCTAACGGAACCGTACAATTCAGTTTAATTTACAGTTTGTATTTTACAAATCGAACCAAACTAAACAAAACCGCATTATGTTATAAAAACTTACTAACCAATATATATTTATTTAATTATTTAGAAAAATCAACATGTATTATGTGTATACTTTATCATACTTTGCATGATATTTATTTTAATTTGCAAATCATAAAAAAATAAAATATCATTCATTTATAAATATTTTTACAAAATATATTTTATCATATTCTTTGTATAATATTTATTTAAGAATGCAATTTTATCTATATCATTCTTTAAATTTAGATAAAATTATAATACACAATTTTATGTATCAAATTACAAACTTATTTTGACAATTATAAATTTTTTTAATGTAATGTATCAACAATTAAACACAAAATTATATTTTCCTTTATATGTGTATGTATGGTTTAATATTTTTTTTTGTAAAAAATCGAACAAACCGAACCAATCCAAACCCTATTAGTTTGGTTTGGTTTGGTTCGGATTTATTTTAAAAGTCAACCGAACTAAACCGAACTGCATGTATTTTTTTCTTGTTGTTCGAGTGATTTTTTACTTCAAAACCGCCTAAACTGCACTACGAACACCCCTAATTACATCCGTAAAAACACCGACTATGATCAATGGATACTTGTACAATTTAACAGAAAAAACAAACTCCTCAACGAATTACAAATTACATTTTTTAATTCTTTCAAAAATAATAAAATTTTCACACGAAGAAACAAGCAAGAAGGATCATGAATACAATAGCAATATAATAGAAATGCTTAGTTTTACGAATTGTAAAACTAAGAATTGCAAGGAGCAAATCTCCACCTCTCTTAACTTACACTACTCTTGTGATTTCCAACAAAAAAAAATTTTTTTAACCATGTTTATTATTCTTTAACCATAGTTGTGTTTCCAAAAGACTTATAATAAATTGCATGACTCAAATTATATAATCATGGGTGTTTGGTGACAGATTTTATTTTTTTTGTTGCCCTTGATCACTTAAATGACTAATTACTTATAGGCTATAGCTCTTGTTCCTTTACTAATTAATTTGCTCAATCATTATGAGTGTGACAATTTTCTGGACTCTAGGAAATCCTTTTTCTTGGTTTCTCTAGTGGAAACATATGCAAGAAAGCTACCAAAATCTGTGTCCATGTAACGCTTTGGATTTGATTCGTCAATGAGTTTTTGCGACGGTTTCACAGTGCAGTTAAAGGGAAGACTATGCAGTGAAGCAACAGATATTCTACTATTAACTTCATTCACCAAAACCCTATGCAATACGCTCTTGTATTTTCCGTTGCTAAATATCTGAAAATATATAACACCAAAAAAAGATATTAACAGTGATAAATCTCGATTATATTTTTAATCAGAGAAAATTCTTTTATGCAGTTGTACGTAGAAAATATCTGATTTATATAAAAAAAAAATATTACCTCTAAATGATCGCCAATGTTGACGACGAAAGCGTTGGGAATAGGTTGAACAGTGAGCCATTTGTCTTGAAATTGAATTTGCAAACCCTCCACTTCATCTTGGAGGAGTAGTGTGAGGAATCCATAATCAGAATGAGGGTGCATTCCTAAGGTTAGGTCTGGTTCAGGACATGGTGGGTAGAAATTGGTCACCAACATTTGGCTACCATTGTCCAATTCATTCATAATATTATTATCATTATTGTCCTTTTCTTTTGTCATCTCTTCTTGGTTGGCTTCCACAATTCCTAAACTTTCTAGGATAGCTTCCATTATTGCCATGAACAACTGTTTTGTTTCTTTTGCATAGGTGGCAACCACTTCTCTGGTAAAAATAATAATAAAATAAATTAAAAAATGCACTCACATCTTACATTGTAAGTGAAAATAAAAATAAAAATTATTCGATTTAGTGTAGACAAAAATGATTTTCAAATCAAGTAAATGATACTTGTTCTGATCAAAATTGTAAACAAATAATTTTTTTCTGATTCATTGAATAATTGATGTATCTGGTCCAGATAGAGATCAGATAACCTCTGTTTGAAGCACTTACTGAAAATCCGATGGAGAAGCAGGCCAATGAGGAAGAAAATCAGGCAAAGGATGACAAATGAGTTTTAAGAAATCTCTCCAACAGAACACAGAGTCTTTTGTTTGACTGAAACTGGTCCCATATCTCACAGCTGCTCTCATATCAGTTGTCATGTACTTAGCTCTCTCCTCCAATGGAAGATCAAAGAATCTTCCTATCACATCTATCATGCTCCTTGTTATATCATCAGATATGGAATGATTCACTACCTGCATCAATTAAACATAATAATATCTTTCAATATCACATTCAAGAAATTCTATAGCTCAACAACATGCATGAAGATTCGTATTATCTTATCTAATTATTTTATTTTTGGAATATTTCATTAAAAAATAGTGAACTATTAGATAGAATTATAAAATGATATGATTATTATAATAACTCGATCTGAAATCTGAATCTCACATCGTCACTTAGTCAGTTCATTGATGGTTGTTTGATCAAAATCAGATAATTCATATTTCAAGACTTGATATTTGAGTTGCTTGATTTTGATGTAACGACCATCAATGTAATTGACTACGTATTTTCATGTGACTCTAATCGCACACAACTGGCTACCGATTTCCTACCTGGAAAAATCCATATTGTTCACAAGCATTGGCTAAGGATTGAAGAGCTTGTGGTCTATTTGGACCAATAAGATCACCAAAATCAATGATGGGTAGCTGGAGATTTTCCTTGGGAGAATTTGAATCATTCATACAAGTGGTGGGTCTATCTGAGGCTGGAAATATATACTTCTTTGGCACTTTATTAAGATAACCTTTTTCATACAAGTTCTTCACTCCTTTATGATATTCACTTTCTATTGTATGATCATCTTCACTCCTTTGATCATTCATCACCATCGCGGGAGACATTAGCCGTGCAATATTATAATTAAATTAACTTCTGAAAAAAATAAGTTATATCAAAACTACTAATAGAAACGATGATAGACAACAGAAAACAAATGTGAACAAATCCGACACCTATTTTTAAAAGAGAAGTTTTATTTAAAATAGTTTGAAGAATAGACATACATGCATGCAAATAACATGAAAGAAAAAATATGCTTAGTTTTATGCAATTCTTCTATAATAAGTGCACAATAGGACTAAAAAAAAGTATAATAATATGCTATATGAATAGAGATATTCCCAATACCTTGGTTGAGAATAATGTGAAGAAAGTGAGAAATTGAGAAAGTTTGATTAATGAATGTTAATGTTATTTGATGTATATATAAAGGAAAAGAAAGTTACTAGTTTTGAAGAAACCACCTTCAGGGTTTCTAAAACCAAAGACTTGTTCAATTCCATTGATTTTTATAGTCTTTCCAATATTTAGTAACATAACCAAACCGTTGACAAAAGTTCAGTCATACGACGAGGTCCATTACACAAAGACTGCATCCATCTCTTTTCATCACTCTAAAATTTCTATTTTCTCTTTCTTATAGCTATCTATAGACCCTACAATTATTACTTTGTTGTTGTGTTATAATTTTATTTTATTTTCTTTGTTTTCATGTTATTTTATTGCATAAAACTATGTATATAGGCATAGCTGACTTTTGGATTGTTCATATATATATATATATTCTATATTATATATTACTGTTTGTTTCCCACTGACCAATTAAACTTATTTTATGTACACAACAACAAAATGTTTACATAAATAAGAAAACACAAAAATTAAAAATGTCATTTTTTGAATAAAATTAGTTGTTTGTCTTTGTCACGAGACTATCTGAATTAATGTCGAAATTCGATGTTGCTCTAGTGGCATATTTCAATTTCTTTTAATTTTTAGAGCAATTTTGATCTACTTTTCAATAATTTATTTTTTTTAATTTTCTTTTTTATCATATAAATTGAGCTATGCGTTTTTAAGAATCTCACGTCAGATAATATATGGTCTAAATATATTCTTATAAATGGAAGTAATCTTCACCCTACAAATTGGTTTTGTAAAGTTGATTTACGCTCAATCACATTTCTTAATATTATATGAGAGTCTAATTTATGATCCAGTGGACCACTAGTTATCAGGTTTTCACTATCAGACCACCCATCATATATTTTTCATCCTTCAGATGTTCAATTCTGAGCGTAAGATGGTGTGTTAAGAGTACCACATCGAATAATATATAACCTTATAAGTGGAAGAAATCTTCACCTTACAAGCCGATTTGGAAGGGTTGAGTTAGATCCAACGATATTTTTTTGACATTTTTGAAATGGTTTGTTTATTTTTTGTAACAGAAAATTTTAGAAAACGTTTAGTGGTAATGTTAAATTTTGTTTTTTAAGTTTTGTTTTTATTTGATGTAATATTTTAACTATGAAATCACATAGTGTTGTCGAGTTAATAATTGAGAAACTAAAAGAGGTTAAATCAAATGTTGAGGAATTTGATACTGCTAAATTGAATACTTTCGAATTAATATTTCAAAGTTGACGTTGAGATTAAGATCAATTGTGTGTTTTGTAGTTATGTGGTCGTGCGTGTCAATAAGTCTCTCAACTAAGAGATTAAGATTCAAATGAGGTTAAATCATGGAGATTCTTTAGCACATTTCCTCTGTCTCCTAGTGACTGAAGGTCTTAGTGGGTTGATTAATAGGGACACTACCTTACTATTTTCTCTGAGTTTAAAGTGGGTTCCTCTAATTTGGAGATTTCAAATCTTTAATATGTCGATGATACATTAATCTTGGGAGAACCCTCAATTGAGAATCAATGGGCTATTATAGTGGTTCTTAGGAGGTCCGAGTTAGTGTCAGGTTTAGGAGTAAATTTTCATAAGAGTAGTCTAATTGAGATTAATATTGATCCTTCAGTCTTAGCCTTACCTGAAAATTTTCTCCATTGGTAGATTGTGTCTCTTTCCTTCAAGTATTTAGCGTTGCCAGTGAGTGTTAATCCTCTATTGGAATCTACTTGAGAACATCTAGTGAACTTAATTTGAAAGAGGTCACGCTCTTGGAATCTTAGGTATTACAGCCTATGGAGGAGAGTCATCCTTCTTAATTGTGTTCTTAAAGTTATTCTTGTGTTCTTCTTGTACTTCCTTACGATGTTGATGAAAGTTTGGAAGAAGTTAGTTTGGATTCATATGAGATTTCTTTTGGAAGTTGTGAAAGGATATTCTAAGATCTTTTCGGCTAGATGGTCTGATGTGCGTAAGCCTAAGAAAGATTGAGTTTAAATGTTATAGATCTTTATATGGTTATTTTGGCACTTCTAGCTAAATGGAGATGACACCTTCTAAAGGGTGCTTCTTGCATGTGGGTTGATATCTTGATTTCTAGGTATGGTCACTCAACTATTACATCCTTGTGTAGGGGTCGATCTTTAGGGTTCCGCCCTACCTCTTCTTGGTGGAAAAGAATGTCTCGTCTTGGTTCTAAAAAAGAAAATCCCCCTGATTTGTTTGAAGTGGATTTTGTTAAGAAGTTTGGACCATATATTTACCCTTGCATAGAGAATATACCTCTTTATACTAGGTTTCATAGGCTTTTCACTATCTCTCAATGGTAAAAATGTATTGTGAATAAGATTGGGAAGTGGAAAGATGAGAGGATCTCTTAGAATCTTGGCTAAAGAAGACATTTCTTCGTTCATGATGAACCCGTAATATTTGATTTTTTCATGGTCATGCAATAGTTTTAGTTCAGTGAGGAGAGTGATGGATGGGTGTTGAGGTATTCTAGAGATATTATATTCTTTGTAGTTCATGGTAATCAAGCACAAGTTGGTCTCCTCCTTTCTTTAAAGGTCCTATATCTTGAGAAAATCCAATACTTCGCCTTATCTAGGATAATTGGGCTCCCTCTAATATTGTAACACTTTCTTACAACTCTTGCAAGATATATTCTCTTCTAAAGAAAATATTTTTCAGCGAAAGGTCATTGCTGATGTAGAGGGTATTTCTTGTATTTTTGTGGGCATTGGCTTGAGTTTACATCTCACTTATTTGCAGGTATTGTTGATGTAGAGGTTCAGTTGGCTTTTCCTAGGGATGTATGGGCCTTTTTTGGTATTTTATCTCTTTAGGTGGGAGGTCTTAATCTAGGGTATGTTTTTCCATTACTTGTCATGCAATATTATGGTCTATCAAGTTAGGGTAGAATGATAATATGTGTACTTGTACGTCAACAAACGTGAAAAGGGCACAGTATAAGAGTATTTATTTAGCTTGAACTTCATTTTTCAATAGTTTAGAACCGAACTCTTCCTCCTTTGCTGTTTGACTTCATAATCCTATCTCATGCCTTAGTCAAGAACAGTTTGAGTGGTGTACCCCTCTTCTTTGGTTCTAGTGGTTTCAGTGTTACTAGAAGTACTTGTGGTTAGTTTTTTGTAAGACTTAAGATCAAATCTCTAATTCGCTTTTTGTTGGGTGTATACCTTTGCTACTTGTAAGCCTTATTGTATGGTGCTTGTTGTTGTTGTTGGGTGTTTCTTGGCCTCCTTCTAGGTTCTGTTTCTCCTTGTTTACTGCTTGTGAGACTTGTTATATATATTTCCTTTAAAAAAAGTTATCGTTGAGAAAATAGATGTTTAAAAATATTTTATGAATGGAAATCAATATATTTCATTAAAAGAATTGTTGGACCATGTTTGGAGTAAAAATTGTTATTGTAGGTTTTGTTATACTTACCGAGAAATCATTTTGGATTTAATAATTTAGTTTGTTGAGATGTAAAAGAAGTGGCACATACAAAGAAACAAAAAGAAATTAAAAATGCAATAACAACATATTGAAGAAATGACATGGGAAGTTGCAGTGGTAATAATTAGGCCTGGATTCTTGGATCTTTGGGCCTACCATCCCCCAAATTAAATCTGGCATCCCCTATTTTTCATTATTTCCAAAATTTCCTTTGGTGAAATGGGTACAATTATTTCCGAACAAAATTTTCAGTAAAACAGTGCAAATATCTGGTATGTACAAAATTTCTGGCAGTTCATTTGAAATTTATGGTATGACATAATTTTTTCCGGAAATTTCAAATTTACCATGTTGTACTGGAAATTTTGTTCTATGCTGAAATTTCCGATAGTGTATTAATTCAAAAAAATTTAACTATCAATATTTTAACGACATCTTTGGAGGATTCTGATTGCACCGACAAATTTGTGTGATCTAGAATGAATCACAATTTGTATAAATAGGGACATAAGTTATAGAGAAAGACATCTCAAAAAAAGTCTCTTCCTCAATTTCTGATTAAGGTGGAAGTGTATTTCAGCGGAGACAACACTCTTATTGAATTCAACTTCTAGATGGCACCATATCCCTCGCCAACTTGAAAGACAAGTTGAATGAATTAAGGCCTGATACCATTAGCAGAAGGGTGAGAAATATCATGTTTTATGAAGATTGGATTCATACAAATGGATGGGTGAAATACAACCTGATTGAGTTGAATAGCCACGAAGATATGAAGGCGCGTGTGGAAATCATTTTGACGTTGGATAACTAAGGGTCTGATTAAGTTTGATGTACATATAACAAGATTCGTCAACGACATAATCAAGATGCTGAAATATTCAAAATCATCTGGTAGTACCTAGATTTTCATGTTTAGTTTTTTTTAATTTATTTTTGCTGTATAGTTTTATGTTATGTTCATCTCCGAATCGAAACATGTAATCGCTAAAATATTATGCAATAAATAAGTACCGTGATAAAAAAATTTGTGTTTCAAAATATACATATAATACAAGAAAAATATAATATATCTAAATAGGCCCCCACGGGCTATGTCTGCTAGCTTAGATAAACATGTAAAAACCTCACCATATAGGTTTACCAAACCTCCACAACAACAACCACATGAGCAGGTACTTCATCAACAACAACAACC